AATTAATCCATAAAATAATAAACCTCAACTATGATCAGACTTTACATCATTTATATTTAATGAAATTAATTAATTTTATTAATAAAACATAGATTAATCTTATACTTTACTAAATGCCAATTTTAAATAATTAATGTTCAAATTTCCTTATAAATTAATAACATTTAATACTAATTGCTGTCTTAGTAAAAATTCTGAGAATAGAGAACTTTTAAATATTTTACATTTTCAAATTAATTTTCTCATATTTTACATTTTGCTCTTCTAAAAAGATAAACTATTCTCTCCTTTTCGATTCTTAATGTTATCCAAATATCAATTTTTAAAAAGTTTCCTTAAATGCTGAATTTAATATATAATATAATTGATTGTCAGTCAATATCAATATACTATGATTTATTATTTAAATTACCAAAATCCACACAATTTATTTAATTATTTATTATTAAGGAAAAGTTTCTACTATTTTCTCTCTTACTTTTTGTTTCTGCAAACATTTTTTCTTTAAATTTATGATATTCATCTATTTGAAATTGGATCTTATTTCCTTTCTTTTTTTTTTTTATTTTTCCACTTTCTGTAACTCAAACTCTGGTAAATTATATAAAGTAGGTTTAAAGGAAATATTGAATCACATTTTGGTTTAGTTTCAATATATTTGACCAATATTCCCATAAAATAATTGATTTATATTATAACCAATTTTTAAATTTTGAATAATCTTGGATAGTATATTACAAACAAAATTTTAATTGTAAGATTTTTTTTAATGATCTACTAATAGGTGATAAATTAAGTTGATTAATTGAAATAAAGATTTCCTAAGTACTGAATTAATTCAATAAATTCTTGATTTCTATTTTAATATCTGAAAAGCTTATTGATTGTATCCAACTCATAATTTCATTTTTAATTAACTTAATCTTATTAAATATATTTAAATTTGCAATAAGCTATTTATAAATTGCTTGATTTATTTATCTATTCAAATTCCTAAATTATTTTGAATAAAATACTTCCATTTACTTATTTATTTCTTATTGTTATTGTAGAATGATTTATTATTTCATATATTATATTTTATACTATATAAAAATAAACTATTAATTTATTTCTAATTTCTCAGTTAAACTTAAATATGCAAAAAATCTATTATACTGTTACAGCTTATATCATTACGTGGCTATAATTATACTTATATTCATATTGTTATTATATTCATTACAAATATTACTGTCTGTATTAATAATTATTAGCATATCATGTATCTTATAAATAAATCCTCTTAAGATTTTAATGTCTGATGTTATTAATTTTTTATTATAAAATTTGTTAATGATAAATTAAAATATTTTATTATTACTAATAAATCAATTTTTATTCTACATTTCTCCTAATATTATTGCATTATGTTATTTTCTATTATTAAAAAAATGATTTCATAATTAATGCCAAAGATAATGGATATTTAACACAAATACTAATTTAGCATACTTCCATGATGAATTAAGGTAACATTTTAAGGTAAATATGTCTATTTAAAAAATATTCTATAAATAGCAGATATTTGTATCCTGAAAAAAATAGTTAATAAAAATATATTTAAAATTTTTTTAAAAGTATGTATATTTATGTAATTAATAGAAAAATTCAAAGGCTTTTAAATATTTGATGATTTAATTCTATTTCCTTTTGTAAGAGAAGATAGAGAGAATTAGATAATCAATTTCCTTATTATAATAATACAGAACCATTATCAAAAAATGATTAATCTAATTATCTTGATAAATTCAGAACTGTTATAAAAAGTTTATTAAAATGTTATTATATAAATGAAATCAACAGCATTAATTCAAAATGTTTAAAATTATTCAAAGATAATAAAATTTTGCTCAAATAAAATTCTCTTAAAC